TTGGATCAACTAATTATCCCCAAATTGATATTTTTCTTTATTCCCATCACTTATATGGTTGATATTGTATTGATATTGTAAGGAGAAATTCTCTCTTGGTCACTCATGAGAGTTAAAGGGTTAAAATATGAACCATAAGTTTTTATCATATTATCTTACTTCCAGGTGTACAATAGTGAAAAAGACTCCTACGCTGTGTTTTCTGGCCACTCACCTGAGACGAATAGATTTTTGGTCATCGTCGTGTGTGTGTTCCTGGGTTTCGCTTTCGTTGGCATCACAGCTGAAGTCATTTATAAGACTGTGAGGAAAGGAAATTTGAAAGTGAGAAGTAGAGAAGGTATGGATTCTTAATGATCTTCCTCACTGTGGATATTCTTAACAGTTTGCTTAATTAAGTTAGCCTAGTTTATTCATTCAAAACGAGAAAAGGAGACAGTAAGGTGTGTTCATGGGTGCACACGCAAAAAAAAAGTGATGCATTTTCCATTTGGACGCATAGCTTGTTTTTTTTTAATTCTTTAGTTTTTTGGCAACTACAGAGGTATTCTATTTTTCTCGCAGTTCCTAGCTTGGGTGTCACATGGGGGTTAAGTTTGTTGTTTGTTCTCGTCCTCTGAGGGCTTTTCTCCGGGTCCTCCAAGTTTCCTCTCCCCACAAAAACCAACTTTCTAAATTTCAATTCGACCTGGAAACAGTGGACAAGAAAAGCCACATCGTGGAATGTCCAGAGATAAGTTATTATTATTATTATTATCATTATTATCATTATTATCATTATTATTATTATTATTGTTCAAGAGATTTTTATCTCTTGTATTATTATGATTACCGCAAATTGGTTGAGTAAGTACGGAAATCAAACAGATGGGAAATTGATGCTTTTCTTTTTTTTTTTTTTTTCATTTGCAATGAACATGATTAAAAATTTCCTTTAAACAGACCGGGAAAACGGAAATTATTTGAGGGAAGTTTGCGAGCACAGTGCTAGTAAACCCAACTTGGCAAATGTGGAGTACAAGTTAAGACAACTGGTCGAAGAGGTTAGCAAACTACAAGAGCAAATTTCAGCCAAAGGACGGCGAAGCACAACTCACATGTGACAGACAGTGGCATATCTCAGTTCCAATTTTTCCACGGTCATTTGGTCACTAGTGGAAACCAATCATTGAAGCGGTGGACCCAGGGGGATGAAATTTTATTTTCAATCCCGGATGTTACTAGAGGCAAGAATAGGGAATGGGGATTGGGAAAATGAAATGGAAAATTGAAAATGGGAAATCAGATTTCTCATTTTTTTGTTTTAGATTTACCATTTATAGTGAGGAACAGATATTTTTCATCGATATCCACTTACTCTTTAAAAAACATTCAGGGGAAAATTCAAGGAACGAAATAAATTGATGATACGGAAGAGGTGAGCTTCGAGGAACATATAATATCCGTGGGCAGATGTACGAGT